TTTGACGATATACGTGTTGCGTAGTGGTCTAGATTCGTCAAATCCACTCTTATTGAGCTTTCAGAGACCCCCTAGGAGACTCGAGATTTTGTACCTCGGAACTTGCAAGTCGCGAATTCGGTTGAAGATGTAACCCGGCGGGTCCGAATTCCACGGATATCATTTTGAGCGTGTTCTACTTCTCGGCGTACAGTTCTTAATCCTCTACTGTGCATCTTGAGGAGTTGTTCATGTATGACAATCCTATAAGATTAAAGTCGTTGTGGTTGACTCGCCAAAGCCAATCGTTGCGTTTGAGTAACTGCCTTCTACTAAGCTCTCTGGTTGCACATGCATGGCGGCGCTATTACAGAACCCCATCACTTTCAACGCTGATTGACGTCGCTGTTGGAAGTTTCCTGTTCAGTGGTGCTGTTCCATTCCTGCTATGAGCTCTCCCACTGGTGATGTTGACGATGATAATCTACTAGAATCCAGTAACTGGATGATGTACCCTGGCTACACTGTGATAGTGTGGGGAAACGGAAGGATACGGTAGGGGGATGGGGAAGGCATCAGGTTAATCAGTATCCCTGCGGAGACTATCCCGTGGCCATGAGTTCTCTCCTCTTCGAATTACTTTCAGTCTTGCATCGTTGAGGAGTTAATGTGGTCGGGGCTCGATCGTCGAGTACTGTCGAAAACCGAAAGTTTGAATGTTATACTTCTAGAAGGTCTTTCTACGTTCCCCTTGATAACTTTGAAACACAAAACATCGAAGTTGAGAATATATTAACAACGTCATGCAAATAGTAAATAAAATATTACAAAGTCGTCTGAATTATAATAATCGTCAGCACCATCAGGCCTGGGCCTGTGGTGCTGCTTGAGGACGTCCTGAAAAAAAGTGCGTTGTTGATAGTCTCTCGAACCACAATCTTACCCTTTGGTCCCTCCTCGGAGTGGGCCACCAAGGGCGTTGGTGGTGGTAGTGGTTGTAGTGGTGGTGGTGGAGGAGGTGTTTGGGTAGAGGATTGGATCCTTCCCCAGCGCATCCTCCTTTGCCAGGTTTAGATCAATCACCTTCTCCATTACGGACCACCAGGACGTAGAGGCCTGGGTCTCGGCATTTAGAGTAGCAGGCATGGTGGGGGTAGGGGTAGGGAGGGTATCCCCTCCAAGAGGGGCCACCATGGTAACAATATAAACCGGTAGGATTGAAGTAATCGCCATCAGGATAATGGGAAAGCTCTAAGAACGAAGACAAAGTTCATGAAGACTAGTCGATACTAATTCTACTATACGAGCATTGTAGAATCAATTCTGTATAAGGAGATCATGGAGGAGTGCTTTCGGTCGTACGACCAGCAGCGGTCGCGGGGATCTCTAGCGCGCGCCTACTTTCGAGCGGGAATATTTCCGAGGAAGGTTATCATTAGCCTCATAAGCAGCTTTTCTTATTGCCGGTGGGAGAATGGGTTGTGTACAGAGTTTATTATCATAACGGCTATTACAATGCAAAGTGGAGAAAATGAAGTCGTAGCGAACAATACGGCTACTACTGAACCTTTGAAGCGGTCGTCTTTGATCGTGATGATGATACTGCCAAATACGAGAGTATCAAAGCGGCAGTTGCGGGTGTTCTCTCGAAAAAATGCCTGAAGGGAATAATGTGTTGATAGCTGGGAGGGACGGTTGATGGTAGACCGTTCCTTCCTTCGCTTCGCATATAAACGCGCAGATGTACCTGAGTTTGGATAGTCTCTTAAAGTAATAGGAATTGGGAGTTAGTGTGGTTGCAGCTCGAAAGTTATTACTGTGGAGGAGATCGCTGATGCGATAACAGCGTTGGGGTCGGCGAAGGGGCATTGGATGCGAGTAAGATGCTGATTAAATCCGTCATACCAGAGTTACAACGGAGAACAACACTCATTGTGAGGTAATATGTGGAGAAATGGTGTAGTGGTGTGTAAGTTGGTTATTGACGAGGAGGTCCGAAGTTCCAATCCTGGTGAGGACGTCATCCATTTTAGAGATGTCGATTCGAAATCATTATCGATAGAACAGTTCAGAATGAGGTAATGAAGGATGCCTCATGTGGTGAGAACTCTATAGTGGAAATTGAATCGTCCTGATGTAACATCACTGAAGAAATTTGTGAAGTGGCGTCGTAATACTCTGTGAAAATAACGCGATATTATTAGCGGTGATATGCACTAGTCGTGAAATATTTTTTCCACATGTGTTGGTGATAATATGAAAATTCTGGGAGGAAACTTCACTTCTACCCCGAAATCGTATATAAAACTCAATAGTGTAGCTGAAGCTCAATACCGACGATTTCTAAATGATAATTAACCTTTTTCAACCTATTGCCCAGTGGTATCTTCTGTGTGCGTTATTCATATCTTTTGTTGTATCCTTCGCTCGCCATTGGATACTTGTAACCGTCACGAAGCATCCTGGACAATTCCAAGATCGACTTGAGATTATCATCATCATCATTCCCTAATGGACTGGTATTGAGTTGGCCTACTTTAATACTGGTGAATCTAACAACTATAGCTTTGGAATCTCCTGAGCTCAGCTGAGGAAAGCAAACATATATTCCTACTCCAACACTGTATAGGAAACTCCTGAGCTCAGGTGCTGAGGAAAGCGATTACATATATTCCTACTCCAACACCGTATAGGAAACTCCTGAGCTCAGGTGCTGAGGAAAGCGATTACATATATTCCTACTCCAACACTGTATAGAAAACTCCTGAGCTCAGGTGCTGAGGAAAGCGATTACATATATTCCTACTCCAACACTGTATAGGAAACTCCTGAGCTCAGTTGAGGAAATCGATTACATATATTCCTACTCCAACACCGTATAGGAAACTCCTGAGCTCAGTGCTGAGGAAAGCGAT